TTCCAAGATAAAATACTTAAACTTGACATAGAAAATAAGAAAATAACCTGACAACCACCGGAGATCATTTCTCACCCCCTTTGTTTTTCCTCTATCACAGAATTCGCCTTTTTCATAAAGGCTTTTTTACCTAATCGGAAGGTTACACCCATCACATTGCTAACTTCCCAGCTTGCTCAGACTTATTCATCAACATTCGGACACTATCTTGGAGACTTTGAACGATCCTGTTTTTCCTCTCTCAAAAATCTCTTCCTCTGCTTATGCTATAGACTCTAATAAAGGATTTTCACCCAGTTCTACCATTGACACACTTCTTCTTGAGGTGCGACCACAATTTGGAGAAATATCCCTTCACTGAGAACAATGAGAAATTGAATCTTCGCCCAACTAATATTATTTTTTAGAGAACCTCCTAAACCCCTTATATGATTACCATTACTACTCATATAATCCAAAGAACTGGATCTACTAGTTGAAAATATCCATCTTTGCTTGTTCCTGGATCAGCCCGCATATTCTCCACATTCTCCACATTCTCCCTACCATAATTGGGCTTATCTGACCCACTATTAATTTCACTTGCCAACCTATAATCCACTTCATTAATCCTTGACAGAATCTGTTGCATAGGAATTACATAATTAACCTGCCTCTCTTCATCAATCCCCACCGAATTAATTAGTCTCGTATCAGTTGCAGTATTAACTCCAGGAACGAAAGCCTCCATGCCACCTGTAAAAATATCTTGAAGGTGTGTCTCCACTCTCTCTAGGAACACCACTCCTACCTCTTGGATTTTTTGATCCCTCAAGACCCCTCCATCATCGGACTGGTGCCCCGATGATTAGTCATCATATTCATCTGAAGGCTCTCCATCACTCTTTCCATTTGATATCTCAGAAAAACCATCAATCGATATCTTCACTTTAATCTTTATGACATACAACATATCATTAGTGTTGATGGAGATCGATTCCGGGAAATTAAAAGGACTGGCCGCCCTAACAACCATCCGGGCTACTCTGTAATCCAACTTCAGTAGTGTTTCCTTCTTGATCTTCACTAACTCCCCCAACCTTGAAGCCAAACTGGAGAAAAAGGTTTCATTCCAATAATTTAGGGGTACTCCAATTAATGACACTTTGCAAAATGCCAAAGGAACACCCCCATCTGAGGAAACTAGCCTCAACCAATCAAACCAAAAATTTAACTCCAAAGCTTTTTCTTTCAAAGCTTTTATTTTCTATTCTTCTGACAGGAAAATGACTAAACATGAATTCCCGACATACCCCTAGCTTGCCACTTTTGCATTTATACAATCACTGTGCAGAGTTTTCTGAATTAGTTCCATAATACAATTGTTTATGAATGTCAATCAACGACCTCTTTAACCAACATCACTCCTCCAAAGGGATGAAGACATAGTAGGGATTCTTCAAAGCAACTCCGCCACTCGTCAAACTATTGTGAGTCCCTACTGGTAACCTCTTTTTTCCCACCAGTTTATCAAGATAAGAGCTCCCATCATGAAACATTTTAAACACCATACCTTTATCTTAAAGGCTCTTTGTTTGAGTCTCAATCCTCTACTTAGCCCCTTTAGCTTCTGAACCAATCAGATTCTTCCCTCTTTCCGACTTCCCTCTTGTCGACCTCTGATACTTCGCCTCCCTGACCGAAACTCTCTTCCCATCAATCATCGCATTATCGACCTTTCCCACTGCTTGCAAAAGATCCTCCTGACTCTCAAAGTGGACAAATACAAAAGTTGAATCTTTGTACTTCGGTCTCTTGTTGACAATGGGAATAAATACCTTAACAACCTTGTCATGGAGCTTGAACCGTTCCCACAACGCTCTCCTATTGACTCTTTTACTCAAATTATCAAAAAAAGCAGACCAAGGGGCTCAAGTGGGGAGAGAACCTTGAACTGACTTTCGCTTGCCATACCAGAAAACTACTCTTAAAGCTTATTCATATTACAATAATACTGAATCCCTAAATATATGAATGTTCAATATATTTACCAATATCAGTTTATCGGTTTCTCTTCAATATATACATTAACTCTCTGTGTGTTCAAGCTATTGAACGAAAGGAATTGAGGAAACAACCAATGTTTTCTTCAACTTGTCAGATTTGAGATATGATTTTGAATTTGTGTTATAGTTTTAAGCCTTACAAAGCAAAATTATTACTTGTAATTTTTTAGTACATTATTCTAAATGTTGCCAAAGTTTCAATTAATTGATTTCTGCAGGCAGAAAAAGTTTTCAATAAAGATTTATACTTCAAGAAAACTGTCAAATATGTTGGAGAACCAATGACTCATCTGGAATCCATTGCTTCATCTGCGGTATTTATCTTTGATGCTTGCTCCTTTGAACTGTTTCTCTTGCCGTCTTTCCATGCAGTACAGTTAAAACAAGGCATTATATATTAAGAACAGTTACCTCGGGGACAGGTAGATTCATCAAAGGATTCTCTATCCTATCTTTTTCCATCTCATTCATTTATGTTCATTATAAGATAAGAAGATGGTTAGAAATCCAACCAAATACAAATTTGGAAGGTGTAAATTCCATATTTGCACCTTCTATGCGATTTCTTATAATTTGGATATGCCATTCTTAGGATCATCAATCTATTTGGAATAGGTTTACATGATACTGGTAATGCCTTGTCCCTCTTGTAAGTGAGTTTAATGTACCACAGGTACGAGCAGCTATCAAGGTCAAAGCCTCTGCAATTATTTGCTTCACTTCATCGGGACGAGCAACAAGCTTACGTTTATTACCATGTGTCCACTTCGTGTGAATGTGAGAAAGCCTCTATATGCAAATGCTTATGATGGGGGTTTGGGGGGGGGGGGTCTACATGTTTTTGCATATTGATCTTCTTCATGACACGCGAATAATATGCTTATACTTCTTTTATTTCTGTTTGACTGCTAATTTGCAACTGCAAACATTTTTGTACTAATGCAGGCTGACTGTAAAGTACAGGCCGTCGATGCCTGTGATATCTGTTGTCATCCCTCGGCTAAACATAAATCAACTACGCTGGTCTTTCTCCGGTGCTTTTGAGGTATGCTACTGGTTATATTTTTCACATTCCCTATGTGAATGACTCTGTTTCCTAGATGTGAATAATCCTCATTCTAGTATTTGTAGTTATTTAGTTGAAAACTCGAAATTAGTCTCTTCATCACTCTCTCTCTTCTTTGATCTGTCGCAGGCAAGGCAATCCCTCATGGTCAGAGGCCTTTTCCCAATGCTGGCCGACCCTCGACATCCGGTAAGATTCATTCGGGAGCCAGATTTTTCTGGGACTATAGCATAGTATCATATGAATCTCATAAAGCTTTTGTTTTGCAGGCGGAGTCGAAGAGTGGCACAAATGAGTCAGTTTTAAAGGTTGCTTTAGATCATGGGAAGGCGTCAGGTGTTATATCGAGTCGTCGTGTGCCAGAAGCTTGGTAATGCATCAGTGGTAAAGATCATTGAGCTTGAAGATAAGAATTAAACCGTACCCATAAGAATGTTCAACATAGAAAAAACCCTATTTATGGCTTCGCGGCCTCGTATACGAGTTAAGCCATGATAAAAAAACGTCGCTATAAATTTGTTTTGATGCAGTGAATTATCTATATGCTTTTTTTGGCATAGTTTGGGGAGTTTTGTTACTAAGTCAGGTTAGACTTTTGAATTAAAGCAGTAGAGTGTAATAATATTTATTTATTAACTGATTAAATTATAATTGTTTTAAAAATATAAATTATTTATCATCGGTTTAATAATTGAGTGTCTTACTAATGTAATTTGTCTTAAGTATAATTACAATAGATACTAATGCTCAATCTTAACAAGATATCCTATTTAATTATAAACTTAAATAATAAAATATATTATGTTCATATTAAATATAATAATTGACTAATAAAAATGTGTATTAATTTAATTATTTGATTATTTAGTATATGATTTTGAAATTAAATGTGTAATTTTTTATATGTAATTATCCTATTATTTTCCTTTCTTTGATATTTAATCTTGATTGAATTTTCAGACCTATTTTTCATCAGATTGGTGACTATTCATTTCTCTTATTTGTCTTATTTGAATTTACTTATTAAGAATATAATGTAGTTATTTATAAATATATGTGGTCACATCTCTCGGATGCATTTAGTTCATGGATACAAGATTAACTTTAAGAATATGATCATGCAATGTACTCACACTATGGAAAATATTATTTTATTTGGTTGATTTCATAGAGTATAAGATTGTGATATTTAGCGAAGAAAATATATAATTATTTAAAAATACATTTACTAAATTATCCTTAATGTAAAATTTTATTTATTTTTACGTAAATTTAATATTTATTAGTTTTAATTACCATAATCGTTCACTTAGTCCAAAGATTCTTACTCCCTTGTGTATATGTACAAATAATCTCAATAGAACAAAACATAAACATTAGTTGAAATTAAAAGCAAAAAGCTGTAATAGCTCAGTTGGTTAAAGCGTGTGGCTGTTCGTAGGTTCAAGCCCTCCTTTCTAGCGTTTACCATAATTTGCAACTTCTCGTACACATTTTTATTTCAATCTGTTAAACTGTACTTTTAATTATATAAAAACATTCGTCATCGCAGAACATATGGCCTATTAGCTCAGTTGGTTAGAGCGTCGTGCTAATAACGCGAAGGTCGCAGGTTCGAAACCTGCATGGGCCATTTTTTAAAAATTCACACTTTTCCCAAACGTTGTCGTTTCCCTCACGGCTAACCAGTATGTTGGACATTGTTTGGACTACTGCTGGAGGATAGGGTAACCAACTAGAACTAAAATGATAATTTTTATAAGAAAAAGGAGATTGGTCATACGAGACAAATCCAATATCAACTAGTAAATCGATATTTTTTACCGCTATACCGCAGGTTTGGTCGATATTGACTAATAATATTGCAACATAGAACTTGGGTATATTCTAAATATAAAACTGAATGGTGGAAAGTAAAAAACATAATGACCCTGTATAAACGTTGCAGTGGAGAAAACTAGAAGCACAAGGCCTATTTGACAACTTCATTCAAGTGAACCTATGCGTGCAGTATACAGCCATTATTTCATACTTTCCATTACCAGTCAAAGCCCCTACTTAGTTCCCACCTTTTCTTTGCTACTTCCCAAGTCAAAGTGCTTCAGAGAATCGCAATTCCGCCGGGCCAGGACCCAGGATCCCCTTCTGCTCACTTATCTTCCCTAGTCCATGTGGCGGAGGTGGTGGAGCCAGAGCTGGAACTGATGGTGGTGGTGGAGGCGGCTGCTCCGCTTGTCCATTCTTCTCCTCTTCTACCCATCCAACCCCTTCCCACTGGCTCTGGAACAACGGAACCGAATACAGTAAATATACAACCAAGTATATCCATGAATCTTATACTATATGCACTAGGACTAGGACTAGGAGGGAGTGAGTGAGTGTTGAATCTGAATGTCTCGTAAATTCAGTGGTTCGTGACGGACACATAAATCTTATGAGATGAAGCTTAGTGCTATCGAACAAAAAGGCGTTGCCGATTTGTCATAGTCCATACTGCCTAATGGTCTTATTGACAACCATGTTTAGAAGAGTATAATCCACCCCTCCTTCAAGATATGCAGAAATTATGCAGTCCAACTAAGGTCAATGGCATCTCTTATATGAAGTTTGAATGAGAATACTGAACTAGAGGCCTCTGAGGGGAAAGATGCTTACGGATCTAATAGATTAATGTTGGAAATACTTGCCTCGTCGTGGTCGTAACTACCATCTGGCAATAGCGGGGTTGCAACTGGGGGGACAAGATCTGGGTCAGGTTTTTGAAATATAAATGTTGTGTAGAGACCTGCAAAAGGAAACCAGCAGCAAAAGGGTGAGATCCTGAACAAGAAATGCTGAACCAACAAGAAAGGTAAGAGAGCAATCACCTAAAACATCATAAGATCGAGGAAGAAGTCTCCCCCGTGGATCCAGAAGATTTGGGCCAGCATTCAGCATCATGCCTGAAAGCAGTGATCTGAGAAAGAATCAGAATTAATGGTTAAGAACAACAAAGCAGTTGTTGAACTCAATAGTGGAAAAACTGAATAAAGATTCCACCTACTTGTTATCATCGTAAAATTCGGTTAAGTTCTGAATCTCCACATATTCAAGACCAGCTTCTCGGGCCAACCTGAGTTGCACAACAGATTAGACGTCGATTGGTGGATTGCATAAATGTCCAAATACAAGGGATAACATATTTATACGATTAAACAAAAGATATTAAAAGTTGATGAATTGATAAACGCTAAACTTCCAATGGGAAAGGTTAGTCTGAAAAGGAAAATCAAAGTTAACCTTGCCAAGCAAGCTTCTATAACCATACTCTAAAAACAGCATACCAGGACGTAGTATGGTTAAGTTTAAACATTAATAACCTTTTTTGTCAAAAAAAAAGATTAGTTGTTGAAGGAAAATTCACCTTGTATGATCCATATGAGGGTGATGTAGAGTCTAGCCTGTGAGTATTTGGTGTTGTGAAATTTTAAAAAACAGTGCTGTCTTAGGAGGAAAAGATGCATTAGTTGGTTATTTAAAATTAAGTACAGTGGGGTATGACCATGAGTGAGAAAAGTAGAGAGAGAAAGAGAGCGGGTGCGTTTGGTCATTCATTCTCCGGTGAGGAATGGACTGTTTTTGTTGGAAATCTTAGTAAGAGAGTTACCAGAAGTGAGTTAAGAGAGATTTTCAACCATTATGGTAGAATAGTGAGGGTCTTTATCCCAAGTTTTATGGTTAAAACGAATTATAAGTCATCAACGTTTGCTTTTGTGCAATATGCGGTGGAGGAAGGTTGCAGAAGAGCAGTTATGAATGTAAATGGAACGTTGATTGATGGGAAGAGAGTCACTGTGGGGGTGGCTAAGTATAAGAGGGGCCGGAAGAGAGATGCAGAGGTTAAAAGATCTCAGCTGGAAGGAATTAAGCCATGTAGAGAAGCTAATGGCAGACAGCAGGTTGACTTGGAGTCACCGAGAAGTTTGAGAGATGGCAGAACGTATAAGGAGGTTGTGAATGTGGATAACAGTAGGAGTGTGGATCAACAAAGAAGGGTGAACAGGGAAGGTCAGAAGAAAGCAAAAGGAGTAAGAAATGTCTGGGATATGCACATCCCTTCAGAAGATTTTTGCTGGGTGAAAAATTCCTTAACAGGGATTTTTAAAGATACATTTCAGCCTGTTATGGTGGTGCGAGCTTTGGCAAAAGAGGGGTTCCAGGTCAAGATAGTAAAGTGGGGATATGTTAGGAACGCATGCATTATTATCTTCAATACAAATGAAGAGTTCCTGAAGGCGTGGTCGAGTCTTAGAGAGAAACTTTACTGCTGGTTTGATTGGGTAGATCCATTGTTGAGTGAAGATGGAGTCCCTTTGGCTTATTGCTTGGTCGAGTTGGTTGGGTTACCGCTTCTTAGTTGGAGTATTCCTTTTCTAGAGAAGCTTGGAGGAAAGTGGGGAAAGGTTGTTTGTATCCCGGAGGGAACAAGAAACAGAGATGACCTCTCTTCGGCTAGAATGCTGCTAAGGGTGGCAAGTCCGTTCGATGTACAAGAATCTGTTATTGTAGGATCTTATGGCAGATCGTTTAAAGTTAAAGTTAATGTGGGATCCAGCTCTAATGCTTTCTCTGAAGCTTATGGAGACGTGAGGCAGACTGTGTCATTTGGCAACTGCAATGACGAAGTGTCAAAGGAGGAAGATGGTAGAAACAAAGATAAGGTAGGAGACAACAGGGAGAACTCTGCGGAAGGTTTCTGGTCAAAAGTTGACACGTGGCTTCAGAAAAGTCAAGAAAGGAGGACGTTAGAAGAAGGTGGAGATCAGGATTTGGAAAATAAGTCAGACACTCTGCCCAATAGTAATGGGGTGTCAGACAAGTTTGAATTTGAATTAAATACCAGGGGGGAGTTTGCAGGCCTTGGGCTGAGAGAGGTTGCAGCCCAGAGTTCAGCCCATTCGGAGTCTAATTGGGAGGCTTATTCTCCTGTTACTAAAATTATTCCAGCTGGCCCTGCTGTGAAGTTGAATTGGGCTAGGCTAGCAAACAAGAATAAGGAGCAGAATCTGTCTGAATTTTTTGCAGAAGAAAGAAGTGTATCAATAGAAGAAGGAAAAAATGGGGATATGGAAGATGAAGATATTATGATAGGTTTGTCAATTAGGAGTGCTCCTGTTGGCAGAAGGGGAAGAGGACGCTATGCCCGAGTTTATAAAAGGTCAAGAGATAGAAGAATATGGTTGTGTCCAGCTATTGAAGATGATGTCTTCTGTCCCATGGCTTCTCCGAAGCTTAAGCAGAACAATTCTGTTCCTAGAAGTATACAGCAGTTTCCTACGAATAGTATTGGAAAGGGACAAGATAAGGACTTCAATGGTTCTGCCGATTTTCAGAATACATCTACGGTCCCTACCATTTGTAATGATGGTGTTGAAAGGGTGGAAGCTATTTCTGTGAATGCTTCAGGGAAAGGAAATGAAAAGAGAAGGAAGAGAAGGAAGAGGAGAGCCTTAATTTCTGAAGCTATTGACTTGGTTAATATTTCGACTGCTTCTTCTTCCTCTTTTGTGGAATTACTGAAGGAAGCAGTGGATACTTGGGAAGTGTGTGAGATGTTAGGTATTTCATTTAAGGAAGGGAAGGAGGCTTTTATTGATAAATTATTATGTCTTGGTCAAGAGACAGATGCAGTTAGGGGTGGATGAAGGCTGCTCAGTTTTAGCTGAGTGTAGGGGGAGTAATTCTTTTTTATGAATAATTTTAGTATTATTTCGTGGAACATTAGGGGTCTTGGGAGGAGGGAGAAGTGTGTAGCTGCAGCAAGGTTAGTCAAGAAGACGAAACCAGTTTTTCTTTTCATTCAAGAATCTAAGTTGGAAAGATGCCATGGGGCGATTTTTAGAAGGATTGGAGGTAACTTGTTAAAGGGGGTGTTGGTTTCTCCAGCACAGGGGTCATCGGGGGGATTGATTACATTGTGGAATGAGAACGTGGTTCAAGTCATTGATCAGTTTGTGCATAGTAGGTTTCTGGCGTTAGTAGGAAAATCTAAGCATGGTTCTATGGAGTTTGTAGCTATTAATGTTTATGGGCCTCCAGTCGAAGCTGAGAAGGAGGTTTTTTATGGGGAGTTGCTGAAGTATGTTAGAGCTCTAAATTTACCAGTGTGTCTAGGGGGAGACTTCAACGCGTATCTTGATTCAGAAGAAAAGATAGGCAAATCACAAATTGGCATACTATGGATATTTTCAGGTCATTCGTACAAAAAGCCAATCTCATTAACTTGCCTATGTCAGGAGGTTCTTTCACTTGGTGCAGTAATAGAGAATCTTCAACATGGGTGAAATTGGATAGGTTCCTTATCTGCGCAAGATTCCTTAAGATTTTCCCTAACATTGTGCAGTCGATTTTACCGAAATCTATTTCAGACCATAATCCAGTCTTGCTGGAGGATAAATCTACAAATTGGGGTCCAAAACCTTTTAGGTTCTTTAATTTTCTATTAGAAGAACAAGGTTTTGATGATTTAGTTGCAGACTCACTGGAAGTAGAAGAGAAGAAGAACAATAGTGGTGGAATTTTCAGAATACTGCAGGGTGCAAAAAATGAAATCAGAAACTGGTCTGGAAGTGGACATTTAGGGCTGTCAGAGTCAATTTCGTTGCTGGAAATTAAAATTAACAGTCTGGATTTAAAGTGTCAAGGTGGAAAGCAGTCTGCAGGGGATTGGGCACAATTGATTGAGTCTAAAAAGGAATTATGGAGACTGTTAAGGATTGAGGAGAGAATTTGGTTTCAAAAATCTAGAAACAGATGGATTAAAGATGGAGACAGGAATACAAGGTTTTTTCATCTTAGTGCATTGAAAAGGAATAGATTCAACACTATTCATTCGATCAATTTTAAAGGCAAAGTTATTTCGGATCCAGAAAAGATAAAAGACAGTGTGTTTAAGTTTTTCAAGAATGCATATAATGAAAAAACTACACTGGAAGTTGAGGGCTTGAATTTTGATTTTAAACAGTTGTCTCAAGTTCAAAGTGATTCTCTAGAAGAGGTGTTTACAGAGCAAGAAGTGTGGCAAGCAATTTCATCTTCGGATAGTGCAAAAGCACCAGGGCCGGATGGTTTCACAATGGGTTTTTACAAGAAGTATTGGAATTTGTTGAAGGTGAAGATTATGGAGTTTTTTTCAGATTTCTACAATGGAAAGCGGTGGGTTCATGGAGTGAATCATGCTTTTATTACCTTGATTCCAAAGAAAGGTAATCCTGAGAGTATTGAAGATTATAGACCTATTAGTCTAGTGGGCAGCTTGTATAAGATTCTCTCTAAGGTTCTTTCGAAAAGACTTTCTTCTTGTGTTAAAGATATTGTTAGCCCTACACAGTTTGCGTTTATTCCGGGGAGGCAATTGTTGGATTGCGCCTGTTTAGCAAATGAAGGCATAGATTATTGGAGGAAACAAGGGCTGCAGGGGGTTGTTTTCAAAGTGGATTTTAGCAGAGCTTATGACACCGTGGATTGGCAGATTCTGTTAAGGCTTATGAAGGAGATGGGCTTCGGAGAAAGGTGGTGTTCTTGGATAAATAAGTGTATTTCTACAGCTTCTATATCTATTCTACTGAATGGGTCTCCTACAAAAGAGTTTCATATTGCTAAAGGTTTGCGACAAGGATGTAGTCTTTCTCCTCTTTTGTTTAATGTGGTTGGTGAACTCCTTCATATGATGTTAAATAAAGCTGTGGAATTAGGATTATTTCAAGGGTTTTCTTTTGGAAATGTGCAAAACAGTTTCAATTTGACCCATCTTCAGTTTGCGGATGACCTAATTATTTTTTGTCGAGCCTCCATCACTCAAATTAAAAACGTTAGACGAGTGTTGATGATTTTTAGTTTTATGACGGGGCTTCATCTTAATTTAGTTAAGAGTAAATTGTATGGTATTAATGTGGAGGAGGACACACTGAGAATTTGGGCTAGGGACATTGGCTGCTCTATTGGTTCATTTCCGACAGTCTATTTAGGCCTTCCGCTAGGGGCTAAAAGAAACTGTGAGAAACTGTGGGAGCCAGTCCTAGCTAACTTTGATAAGAAATTGGCGGGATGGAAAGCTTCTTCTTTGTCTATGGCCGGTAGATTGGTGCTTATTAAGTCGGTTTTATCCTCTTTACCTATCTTTTATCTCGCTATTTTCAAGATTCCAGCTAAAATCTGTCAAAAATTAAACTCTTTGATGGCGAATTTTTTATGGGGTGGAGGAGAAGAAAGAAGAAAATGCATTGGGTGAGTTGGAATAAAATTTGTAAACCGAAGTGTGGAGGTGGTCTAGGAGTTGTTGATTTGAAGCTTATTAATAGAGCACTATTGGGAAAGTGGGTGTGGAAGTTTGCCAACGAAAAAGAATCTTTGTGGAAAAAGTTCTTATGTTCTAAACATAGTGTTAGTTGTCTTTCTATGGATGTCAATAAAGTCTCCTCCCATAAGGACTCTTGGATTTGGAGAGGTATTGTGAATAGCTACATGAAGGATGATTTCTTTGGAGGATGCATTAGATCTCATGCGAGGTTACAAGTTGGGAATGGCAATTCGATTTTCTTTTGGAAAGATACATGGTTGGGGGATTTTCCATTGAAAGTTCTTTTTCCTAGGATTTTTGCTCTGTCAACAAATCAAGGGGGTAAGGTTGCTGAATTTGGTAGTTTTGATTTGAATGGTTGGGAGTGGAATATTAAGACTAGGAGGAATCTATGCGATTGGGAAGTGGCTCAGCTGGTTGATCTATTGGACAAGCTCAATGTTATCAAATTAAATGAATCTTTGGAGGATTGCATGCTTTGGGTTGGTGCGGGCGAGGGTTTGTATTCCGTTAAAGCTTGCACGAAATCTTTCTACTCAGTGGATGAGGATAACTTTAGGTGGAACAAATGTGTTTGGCAAGGTCTGGTTCCTCCTAGAGTAGAGGTTTTCCTTTGGCAACTATCACTTAATAAAGTAGCGGTTAGAGGGGAATTGAAGAAAAGGGGGGTTCACTTAGGGGAGGACTCTCTATGCCCCTTTTGCAATCAAGCAGAGGAATCAGTTCAGCATCTGTTTATTTACTGCCAGTTTTCCTGGGTACTATGGAACAGAATCATAGCCTACTGGGGTATCAAGTTAGCCTTACCTACTGATCCTTCATCAATTATAATTTCATGGTCTGTTCTTAGGCCATTTTCTAATATGTGGAAGTTTATTCCGGGGGCTGTTTTATGGTCGATTTGGAAGATGAGAAACGAAATTGTTTTTGAAAGAGGCAAGCTGGACACATCCTCATTGTTTTTCACAGTCAGGTTAAGGCTTGCGAAATGGTTCCTAGCTAAGTATCCTTTATCCTCTATTCAAGTGGACTCTCTAATTGGTGATCCTTCATTGGCTGATAATATTTCAGCTTCTCTTGATTCGAACAGGCCTGTGGTTTACTGGAGTCCTCCTCCAGTCGATTTTTTTAAGTTTAACGTGGATGGAGCAGTTAGTAGGGTTGGGTTGTTAGCAGGAATTGGGGGCATTCTTAGAGATTGGAATCGGATTAAATTGATGTCGTTTTCAGAAAAAATAGGGCCTACTCCTATTATTTTAGCAGAGTTAAAAGCTATCAAAAGAGGAATAGACATCTTTGTGTCATCAGAATGGGTATTGAAGGGAAGGCTTATTATTGAATCTGATTGCAAGCTAGCTGTGGAGTGGTTGAAATATCAGGAGTCAGTTCCTCCTTTTCTTTTAAATTTTGTCAAGGATATTGCGGATGCGGTTTCTGAGTATGAGGTCATTGTGAGGTGGATTCCGAGAAGATGTAATTGCGAGGCAGATTTGCTTGCAAAGGAGGGGATTGGGTAGTGGGTCACTTTTTTAGTACTGAGTTCGGAGGTTTTTAATCAAGGCGTTATAAGAGTGTGCTTAAGTTTTATGTATCTTAAAGGAGTGGTTCTAGTTTTATGTAATTTTTACATTATCAATATATTAAGGTTCTCTATTCCTCCTTCCCCTAGTAGGTTCTGACCTCATGGTAAGGGCTACTTAGAAGGAGGTTTTTATGAGACCTACTTTTCCTATCAAAAAAAAGTATGGTTAAGTTTAAGGTACAATCAGTAGAGGACAACCAACCTGATTAAGCTTGGAAAATGAACCAAGCAATGGGTCTCAGCAGAGACATCACTCGAAAATTTCAGCTGGTATTTCTTTCCAAACAATGGAAACCTGGATTCAATAGAATGATGCAAAAATGTTTCAATAAATAACCCAAATATGATCATTTTTATTTTATGAAGAGCAAACCAAATATTATAATTTAAAAAAAAAACTTAGAAACATCTAAAATTCATACATACTTTTCTTCCTCAATTTCAAAGGTGATTGTGTAACTCTCAGACCGAATGCAATTGGGAACGATATTGGGCTTCATACTGCTACTCCTGTTGTGGTACGCTTCAACATTCTTCTGGTACTTTGCCCTGAACATCCATAATAACAAATATTTTATGCTTTTCTCCATATGGCAACTCCATGAAGGCAATATCTCATGGAAACTATGGAAATGAACACAAGGTCACTCGCACACCCAAAGATACAAGTGTAACTTCTAAAACTAAAAGTATAACAGAAATAAATAAATAAATAAATCACCCAAAAAGTTAGACTCATCATCAAGTAGGATATCAACCAACCTTGGTCATAATAAAAGACATAATGACCTATATGATGCAGCATTGCTGCTGGTTCCCTAACTTAAATGGCCAAAATTGAAACCAGAACTTCTCCATCAATACATCTAAAGTGTGAAGTTTAGTTCTGGGCGAATCTGAATGTTACAAAACTACTGGAAGCTAGAAATTTCAGAAGGCAATCTAAATCACATCAGCATATCGGAGGCCTATATATATTATTATTTACATTAACATTCTTGCTCTTATATTAAGCTGGTAAAAATGCATATAGATCTCAACAATGATCTTGTAGATCCATAATCTACATGTGGGGCATGCTCAAGTGCAAGGAGAGAGCAGAGCATGCTGAAAAAAATAAAGGACATGTGTGATACAACTCATCTTTCTCTATTCATTAAGTGTTTTAACATCAACCGATTGTTGAAAATTGGGACCCTCTCTCCTAGAAGTTGAATTTCTGGTCTGCACATGATTATGTTTGTTGATCGGGATATGTATGAAGAAATCAACTAGATAATAGCAATAACAATTTTCTAACTAGAAAGAAACTAAAGCAAACTAAAACGTTTGAGTAATCATCAAATACCAGAAACAGGTGAAGCAGTAACCAAAAGAAAAAGATAATTAAAAATCCAGAAACATAGGTATTTGCCAATCACTATTTCATACCATATGGTAGATGAGTCAGGAGTGATACCAAAAAAATAACCCCCTGGTTTCAACAAAAATGACACATTACTGAGAAGTCTCCTTGCTTTCTCTTCAGTTTCAAATCCCAACTGCAAGTAGAAGAATAGAAATGCGCTTCAGATTCATCACATTTGTTCTCATGACAAATCAAAACTCAATGTTTAAAACTTGAACTACATACAAAGTACCTGCAAATGCTGCAAGCAACAGACAAGATCAGCCTGAATGTCCTTCTCTTGCAACAGGGTTTCCAAATTGTCCTGTCAAAGGAATATGCAGTCAATGGAAGGAGGAGAAAAACATTGAACAGATTCAACCTTTCTAAAGTTTAAGACTAAACTGCAACTTTCACCAGAATATTAGACAATTGAATAAGACTAAGCGGTTTAGTCTAGTCCTGTCAAAGGCTATTAACCTGTGGTCGTGGGATCGAGTCCCACAGTGGGCAATTCATAATTCTGACTGCCGGAGGTCTTCTACGGAAGCTGCTCTCAACTTGGCATTGGGGGCAGCCTACTACCTTACCTCCCCTCACCCCATTACATATGGGAATAGGGTCAACTGAATAAGACTAGGCGGTTTCATTCAAAGATCAAAAGCAGAGATCAAAGTGGTTTTCAGCCTTTACAACAAAGTAACGAATGGGTCAAGTCCTCTACAGTAAACCACCACCAAAAACAACATTTCCATCTTTATCAACAAAATGGATAGAATTGTGCAATAAAGATGAGGAATAATGCCTCCTAAGGAAAATTTGTACTAAGATTGCTGAAACACACTCAAGGTAAAGAAAATAATAAGTTTAACATTGACCATAACATTTTTATTGATACCTGAATGAGCATCAAATAAATTTCATCTAGTTTCTAAGGGGGGGATTGCTCCACATCTACATATTCATACACACATGGAAAAACATGAACATATTCACCAAATGGGGTGTAGTAAAAGAAGCTCACAGCGCAAGGATCAGCCTCAAAGAATTCAGAAGTGAAGTTTTTCCGCTGACTCTCCCATGCTTCCCTCACTTCATTTATCCCAGATGACACAACATCTGCAATTAACATCCATTTTTAACATTTACTGTCAATCACCACAAATACATAAATTCACACAAATCGCAACCAACCTATCGTGACCTTAACTCATGGTTCCATTCTCCAGGGCAAGATTACTGAAGACTTGCTACGGACAAGAAATTCAATCATCACAAGAATCATTGCATATCAAAATAAGCAATTCAAACCCATTTCAACAATTACCATCATCTATCAATACACACATAAACTTAACCATAAGTCGAGAACTATGAACCTATATATTCAATAGTTAGCATTTCCAATTCACATTAGGAAAAGCAAAAACAAAATAGCAAAACTACCAACCAAACCAAAAGAACCCTAACTTGATATTGCATGATTGGGTACTTGTGTTTCCTTCACAGTGAAATTTACTTAAGATAAAGGAAGAAAGGGTGTTCGTGAAAATTCCATACCTATTCCAACATAATGGCCGATTTGAGGTCCATCCCATTTCTCAGCGTCAGCTCCACCGCCGCAATACAAGTCGCAGACGGTGGCATATGGGTGGACAAAGATCTTGATGAGGGCGGTTTTAGCGAACTCGTAGAGTCTATGGTGAACCGCCTCGGCTCCGGGAACCGGATAACCACTCATTTCTTTATCTGTTTTTCCGTTTTTCTTCTTGCCGCCCACTTCAGTCAAATGGGTGGTCTTGGAGCAGGTAAAAAATGGTGACCGTAAAAGCATAGGTTGGTTAAACAATGCTTATGATGTCAAAATTTATTATATTAACATCACCTCATTAATTATTTTGAGCTTTTATTTTTTTTTTTGATAAAAATATTAAAATTATAATTTCTTTTATTTAAATACGTAAATATTTTTTATCAATTTAAATATTTAATATTATAAATATTATTATTTTAAATGTCTAAACTATAACAGATATTAAAAAAATTTATTAAATAACACATCTCACGTTCATATAATTTTAAATATTTTATTTAAAAATATTATTATATTTAAAAAAACTTTAATCTCCTTAAAATTATAAATAAAACAAAAACCCTAACCTCATCATCTCTCTTGCTGACCACAATCACTGTCCTTGCCATTTTCTTTGTAGGCCATCGTCGTGTTCGTCATTAGAGTCATCAAGACACATTTATATCGCAATTTTGGGATTGTTGTTTGCTAGGTTTAAATCGTCAACTAAGATTTGTTGGTTGACTATGTCGTCTTGCGGTTACATCAAAAACAAAGACGACGACGGTTCACACGGGTATAAGATTGGAATTAGAGTGCGTTTGATTGGAGGAATGTGAAATTTTTATGAGAATAGAATCCACATTCTCCCGTTTGGTTGGTCAGGAATGTCATTTCCGGTAATTTTACATTACCAATAGTGATTTTTTTGGGGTATATTACCGGGAATGTCATTACCTCCATTTACTTAGGTATTGTTGGATTACCGACGTTTTGGACTAAAATGCCCTTAATTTTTTTTCCTTTCAAAAATATATTTATTCTGTCATTAAATAATAAAAATTTTACGAAAATTAAATTACAAATTTATCCTTTAATTATTTTAGATTTACAAAAAAAATCTATAATTAAAATTTTATATAAAGTTCAAGGGTTAAAATAAAATTTTACCCTTTTATTAAACTTTTTTATATTTTCAATTTTGTAAAAAAATTATATAAATTTTATGAATTTAAATTTTTTAAAAATATATATATAAATATTTTCCAATTTGTTAAAAAAACAAATATATAATAAGGACAATTTGATCAAATATACATTCCAATAATCTTTTATTTCTTTAACCAAACACGGTAATCTTACATTCCTGCTAAACCAACCAAACACAAAATACAACATTCCCAGTAATCGTATTCCCTGGTAATCTTTTATTCTCACTGGTAATTTTGTATTCCGTGAACCAAATTAATTAATTCACTATTAATTCACTCGGCAGAATATCGATTAAAACCACGAAAAAAGGGAAATGTATACATGAGAAATGACAATGGTAATTTCAGTAATTGCATTTCCCCATCATTCATCATCTTTATTTATAAGATGGAAACGTGAGAGTAGCCCTGAAGAAGACATAAATATTGAAAATTTCAAGCAAAATTTTAGATCGATAACGATTTGGTTCTAGTGAAGAAGTCGAACGGGTTGAAAAAAAAATGTCGGTAACTATTTCGGTAACCAGGACGGCCACGGAAATTTCTGGGACAGATAACAACGATCCGTTTGAAGAGTTATTAACAAGCTTTAAGAAATAAACCTCTCTGCCATAGCTGAATCTCTCGGGACATAGACAAAATGTTATCACAGCAGCAGCCTCCCAATATCATTGAAGTTTGCTTTCAATGCTGAAACAAATGCACCTGCAACAAACATTGCAGAAATCTCAGGCAGGTAATCATACTGAGGTGTTTTTAGGTTTTAGATTCGGGGTTTCCATTGTGTGTCGGAATATTTGCATTTAGAGCAGTGATTTATACCTCCAACTTTGCCGTCAAAAACACGATGATCGGCGGACAACGTCAAGTTCATTTTTGTCACAATTGCAGGCCTCTCAATCCCTGAACAGGAATTCAATAAATGAAATGCAAAACATTTTGAAGCATACCGGAGAAGGGTAACTTACCATCACTTCCAGCCACTGGTTCAACAAATTTGTTTCCTCTACCGACGGCAAGGATACCAGCCTGCCAATATAACGCACAGAGATTTATAGCACTTTGCAATATCCGGATCTCTTTATAGCAGTGTCTTTTACAGTGGTTAGATAATCTAAATATTGCCTCTAGGAAAAAGTTCGGAAACAAAAACAACAATATGAGTGGTTCTCCACTGTATTCAAAGTGAATATTGTCAACAAATGGAAAAGATAGAACTATCCTTTTCCAAATTTATTGCTTTTTGTAGAAGAAAATGTCATTGGACCAGCTACTTTTTCCTTTTGAGGACTGAACGTAACATTATTCATGGTTGGGATAAAGCTGAAGCTATATTAACGTTTTCTTAATGTTCTCGGTAGGTGCATGTATGAGCAAGCATGTAGCACATTCTCAACATATATATGTACAAACATGTGCACGCACACTCGCACGCACACTCACACGCGTGCGCACACGTGTGTGTATGAGAGAGAGAGAGAGAGAGAGAGAGAGAGAGAACCTGTGGGGGATTTATAATTGCACAAAAGTGGTCAACAGGAAACATCCCCAGATTTGAGATGCTGCAGAAAATTACAATTTCTCAATATTTCTTTCAAATATTAAAACGGTAGAGTGGAAAACTAAGATCCCATACGTATATATTAAAATTCATACCTGAATGTTCCTCCTTGAAATTCGTTTGGTAAAAGCTTCCCAGCCCGTGCCTTTTCAGCTAGTTGCTTTACCTGATGGTCAAGTTAAAGAAGATGAATAAAACAAAAACCAGAATGGAAATCGATGAATACTAAAATATTAAATGAGAAGACACAGATCAAAAGAATAAAATTAGCATGTAATTCTGACCTCGTCAGCTATCATCTAGTATATTGCAGATTGTTTTAAACATCTAGTTTAACTTAAGCTACATCTATAAGGAGCTTTTGATTAGTCAACGTATTTAAAGAGACTACATCTCAATGTGTTGTGCACCTAGATTTAAACAAGCTCAAGATTTAGAAAACAAAGTTGTTAAACTAAAGAGCGGGTAGAGGTCGAAGATGAAAGTACCTCTGAGGAGATTGATGAAATGGATTTCTGATCGGCATTCCTTACAATTGGGGTCATTAAACCCTGCGACACAAATAATATAATTAGGTTGGTCCATAGAAACTGAGACCAGCATGTTATAGGATGTGTACCTTCTCAGTAGCAACTGCAATTGATATGTCAACAGAATCACAAAAAATTATTTCCCCTTTCTCAACATCCCAGTAAGCTGCAGTCATTGACATAGCGACATTTTTAGTTAGAAATAAGCTAAAAAGGCTATAATTTTTGTTGAAAGTTAAATAGTCAATGAAGAAAAACGAATTATATATGTATTTTCCACTCTATAAAAATGCACTTATTATTGGTAATCTGATTCTGGAATTTCTTATAAATAGTGAGTACACTCAACACACTTTGTTTGACCAATTAATAACCTTAGTGCCCTTCTAGTTTGAAACTTCTTCAATCAAATTAGTACTCTAAGTAACCTTCCAATTTGAAACTAATTCAATGCAACCATATACTATTGATACAAAACAAAATTTTCCTCATTTGGATGTTAGATAAGGCTCATCATATAGTATTGATGTAAGAACTTAACTTCAGATTTATATTAAAGTGAAGAAATATATTATGCAACAATAAAACAGTTTCCAGACTTATCTTTTCAAACTAAGCTGAAAACCATTTATAGACCAGCTACTACGAACTAGCCATTGAACTAGTTACTGATATGTAAGAAACAAAATGACCACACGGTCTAAGGGCAATTCCTTCATTAAGGAATGTTGAAGTTCTGGTTTGGGTGTGAAAAAACAAGCAGCGCTGGCAGAGGAATGAAAGAGGATTACATCCCAACTAATAATTCAGCCAACAAATCAACAATAAAAATATGCATAAAGGTAGAAAAGAATAAAAACAAAATATTTTCTAATGCAAAAGCACTGAAAAATGCATCAGTTTAAAAATGTGTCACACCCAATGTTTTCAGATGAAAAATCAGATTGGAATCTAGTCTAAGAGAGGAATATCACCCAACATCTTTAGGAATATTTACATATTACAATAGGTCATACTCTTATTAGTTGCCTTGCCTTGGCTACCCATGTTTACTGAGAAATCTAGGAGGACCAACTCAAATGAAATTAAGTCTTACCATTAGCTTCAGGTACATTTTTCAGAGCAACTGCAACCGCTTTTATGACAATGTCATTGACTGAAACTTTAATATCATGTTTCTCTGCAAATTAAGAAAGCAAAGAACGATCAGTAGTAGACCAAGCTACCAACAAGAAAAATCACACTGATGATACAGGGATTTATTCGATACCTTTAAGCTCCTTCCTAAAAGAAAGAAGAGGATCCAGGACAACATCTGATGAACACAATAAAACAGTTAAGTTTGAAAATAAAATGATACTAAAACTTGTAGATAATATTTAATGTTCCTACCTGAAGATAAATACAAATGTGGTGTAGTCTGTTTAGATTCCAATAACCTCCTTGCAATAACCTGCAGAATGATTACAAATTCTGTAAAAAAGAAATAACCAAAGTTCTCCATTAAACCATATAAAACAACATATTTATTGAGACCAATCAGAACAATATCTGAACATATAGTAAATAAAAATGTTTGAAAAAAGAAATCCAAGAATACCAAACAAATAGATCAATTGGAATATGTCCTAATAACAACATTTGACAGTATAACAAATGAAAAGGTTGTCAACACTCAACAGAACTTATAGAAGTAACAGATACATTTTTTCTTCGAACTACTTAGATTTCACAACAAAGAATCAATAATAAGACTTCCTTGAGCTATGGTATTTTATCATCTAAAAAAATGAATAAAAAATATTTATAGAAAGCCACCAGACATTTACATGCGTGAACTTTAAGGAAGATTAGCATTTTCAAATACTTCTAATGCAATTATAGTTTGATAACACTGCTAATTATATGGCCATTTCATATGCATTCGACTCAAACAAAATCTGGA